AAAGGAACCGCATTCGACTGTGTACGAAGATGTTATACCCGTGTTTGAGGTGAAATGCAATGCCGTGGTGCAAAGATGCACCAAATGTCTGGTGTTGCACAACCTGTTGAACGATTGGACCATGGACTATTGGATTGCGCTGCTGGCCTGGAAATGGCCGGCGGTGAAACAAGTATTCAGAACGGGAGATGTGGTGGACGAAACCACCACCACCACCACCACCACCACCACCACCACCACCACTACCACGATCAAACTGTCGGCATCATCATCGGGTAGAGAATGCAAACTGTATTTTAGAGAACTTTTTCGATTTCTTGTTCCCTTTTTAAGGGTGTCTGATGAATGTAGAAATGGGTTGATGAAAGTTTTTTTGAATAATAAATAAATAAATTAAAAAAAAAAAAAAAGAACAAAACACACATAGTTTTTTTTTGTTTTTTTTTGTTTAACAAACGTTTATTACACCGATAAACTGTGCAAGCGCCATAACACGTTCAGCAGACATTCGATAGCATCTTTCTTGTCGTAGCCGAAAAATGTCCTCATGTTGGTATTCCAATATTCAAGTCTGGCCCGTAAATAGTACCGGACGTACTCTTTAACGTCGTCCGCAGTTTGCGCGTGCCATATCATGCTTCGCAAAGTGTCCATATCCTGCACGAAGCCGACCATCTCCCAGTTACCGAGTCGGTTTGGGTCGATTGCGGCTCTCCGGCGAATCAATTCCTTGTACGCCGAACTTGCGTATCTTCTGATCAGGGACACCTGTCGTTCCATAGATTTGAAACGTCGAAGTTGGATCAACTCGTCGAACGTTGATGCTTCGACACATTGAACGCCGAAGAAAATGTTCTTGAGGGCATCTTCCACGTCTTCGTCTCCGTTTCCGAATTGCAACACGAGTTCCGGGTACGTGTCGCGAAGACGGAGGAATTTGCGTATCACGTCGGCCGCAGAACGCCTACCCGCGATATCCCAGAGGCCGGTGCGTATCTCGAGCATTTCCTCTTCGAAATCCAATTCCCGTCCGTCGTACGGCACGATGGCCGCAAAATCGACCAGACCGGCTTCCAGTGCAGCCGGTATGTATTCGTATACGGCACTCGTTACGTCCTCGAAAGATACGAGACGACGTTGCTTCACGTACTCGGACATCGTTGGGTTATTAGCGCCGTTCTTCCGACGACCCGACTGTAGCTGCATATCGTACGCCATGTCGAGATTCGAACTTAGAGGTCTGTCTTGCGACACGAAAAGTGTTGCGACTGGGACAAGACGAACTTTCCTCGAATTTCATAGTCTTCCGTCTGTTCTCTATTCTCGTTACGCATCCAACGCAGACGCTCCGATGGGTCTAATTGGACGAAAGAAACCCGTCCCGACGGTGTACGCGGTGGAAGAACGGACGCGGGACGACGACGTGCTCGTGAACATGCTATGGACCGAGCGTTCGGTGGTGCTGGACGAGAGGCTCAGCATTCGTTGCAACTTGTCTCTGTCAGATGCCTTTGCACTCGGGTGTCAAGCGGTGGTCAGGAACGTGGGTAGTAAGCTGAACGTTTGGCGCATATTGGACTTTTCCACGATCGCGTACGTCGGCGGTAGCGGCGGTGGTGGTGGTGGTGGTGGCGGTGGTGGCGGCGGCGGCCTTCGAGGCGGTCGCGTCGAACGCGGAGAGCGTATGATGCGGCCGTGGTCGTTCGACGGTCGCGATTACGATTCCAGGTTGGATCGCATCCTTTTCAAACACTTTGGAGAACTGTACTACGACCCAGTCTTGGACCGGATCTCGGTATCGAACGTGGCACACAGAACGGGTGTGAATCCGGAAAGCCTCATATCGGAGATCGAAAGAAAGCTGACCGCGTGCAGAGTGTTTCCGACGAGTGGATGCTGGCTGTCGAAGAACAAGAGCATGTACCGAACGGTGGCCAAGTGGAAGTACGACGGATTGAAACCGGTCCAGCTGTTCTCGCACGACTGGAAAAACAACGAGAGACACGTCGTGCGTCACGACCCCATGCGTTGCGAGATGTGCGTCGAGGAACATTCAAGGTGCTGTCGATCTTCGCATCTATGCTACGGTTCGACGAAAGCTAACATTAAGGACATGCGACTCAGGCAGGGAGTGTCGGATATCGTGAACGGTCTGAGGGACGACGAGAGTAGAGAAAAGTTTCGAAATCTAATAGACTCGTTCGGTGATATGATTCTCTCATCCTCCTCCTCATCCTCCTCGTCGTTGTCCTCTTCCTCTTCCTCCTCTTCCTCCTCTCTGCTTCCTCATCAAAGGAAGATCCGTCGGATATGCGATGGCATGGAGGAGAGACGACGCCGGACCGAAAGGCTTCGGAATCTTAGACCGCTGACGCAATGCATCGATTCGTTTGTCGAGTCGGATCCGGATGAGGTCGCGTTGACGTACATTCGAAACGTCAAGTCTACCCTCGAGTTCCTGTGCCGCCGCGGTAACATTCGATTGGAACCGTTTCAGAAGGAAATGTGCAACGCGGTGATAGCAGGTAGATTCAACAAGGTGCTCGGTGCTCGAGCGTCCAAACTTCGCGTTCCGGCGCTTCGCTTGCTCGGCGTGCTTTCCGACGAGGAGGCCGAATCTTTGACCGAACCCGCAAGGTGGCATCCGGCCGTTCGCGAATCGGCCGCGCGAAAGTTGGAAGAACACAGCAGAAAGTTCGTAGTAGTGCGCGTGCCCAGACGAAGCGGTAAGAACCGAGCCGGTCAGCTGGTCGTCGCATCCCTTCTCGTGCACGAATCCGGAATATCCGTTGTCAACTGGGCTCAGGATCTGAACAGCGCACGAACCAATCGGAAGGACGTGATCCGTCTGCTGGAGATGGCGCAGGAACGTCACCGATTCACTTTCAGGGGCGTACCGGACGGCGTCCAGGTGCAACAGGAGAACGGCATGACTGCAAATTTCAGAAGCAAGGCGAACACGGCAAACGTAAGTATTTTCTCTCTTCCTTTATTATCTCATTTGTTAAAATGTCGTCGCACGAGAAGAAGGCGTACCCTTG